CAGGGCTCTAGATAACGCTGTGTTGGTGCAAATGGGGCTCTGTTTAGGTGCAGATGAGTTCTGGGCAGTGAGCTCGTCCCAATTTTGCCTTTCTAACCGCCGGTAAGTTCGAAACGGATGGAAGTAGTCCGCATGGTCCTTTCCGAGTCTGACCACCTCGTAGGGACTCATCGTATAGAAGCCCGTAGGATTTGCGGACTCTGATTTTTCAAAAATGGCCGAGAATTTAACATGCAAAACAGAAACAAAACTACTTCCCTATCCCCCCTCTCAAAAGGTTCATTTATTGATTTCAAGCAGTCTTTCTTATAACTTAGGCTCTTTAAATTATGATAAAATATAATCTGTATTGACGTTTAGGTACGCGGCTCTGGCTTGGAAGCTCATGAACTGCTCTCGTTGGCCGCGGCAGCAGCGGAAGTTTTACCACCATGCCCTCGAGGGACCGTTTTCGATACTGAAAATGTCTTCATAAATAGTAAAGGAGGTGTAGAGGTGAGTTCAGTAGGCAGTAGGTAGTAAGCTTATCACTGGCGCAGTACGGCTTGGTGGGGGCATTTCGCTGGTTGGATCACTACCGATGCTTCCTGAAAACCTATAAACTCCTAAAAAGCTGCAGTAGCAGAAGCTTCGTTTACGAAACTGGAGGTCTCTCCGAGGTGAGACGAGTAACAGGAACTATCAAAAAAATTAGCGAAAAAAAATAGCGAAAGTGTATGCCCCTCCCCAAGCCCAAAACATCGCCGCTCGTTTCCTATAATTATCACATTTTTTGCGTCTGTGAGTTGCGTAATGAAGCTGCATTTGCAGATCAGGAACGGTTTGCCGCCCCAGATATCTGTCAACCCGTGTTTTGTCCCTCCAGAATGGTCAAAAAACGAGGAGGATCCCGGCGCAGCTGCAGTCTATTGTATGGGCGCTGGTTCGTGAGATTTCTCTGCGACTCGTTCGTCGCATGTTTTGTCAGGTTACGTTTATACTTTGCTGCTCGAGCGCTCTACTGCTAATCGTTGGACCGCTGCAGTCGGTAATCTAACCACACTTGAGATAAACCCTATTCCTGTAAGTTGCGGTAGTAAAACGATCAGCCGTCGGAGCACCCTTCGCCACCGTTGCGCGAATGATTCGCTCGAATAGCGAAGTATAAATGCGACATCAGCATTTCAGCCCGATCATAAACTTGTATATTTCAGTTCTGAGAGCAGCTGGAGCTGAACATGCAGCAGATGTGGATTTATTCTCGCTTGTGAATATTCTCACGGTTGGCATGGTAGGGACAAGGCCTACAGCTCATCGAATGGGTCAAATGGCGAAGTGAGTCGTTCATGTTTTTCTTCCTTTTGCAGCTCTAAAGCCCTATCACTGAAGTTTTTGCGGGTTTTATGACGTCGATTTGATAGTTGACGCTGTGATGGATGGTGTCCGTAAATTGAAAGAGTCCCAGGACCAGTAGCTCCCTGATATCTGTCGTTTCTTTTAGCCTTGAAGGAGCTGATAACGTCAGAATATCAGTCGTTACCAGTTATAGGTGCGTCCTTTATCACTGCACGATCGCTGACACTTGTGTTTTTGGAAGAGAGAAGAAACGCGCCAAATATATCCCTTTGACATTTCTAGAGGGTCCAGACTGTGTAATAATCAAAGAGCTCCTGCTTTGATAATGGCCATAGCTATCCGGGCACAGTTAGTGCTTCACTCGCTCATCAGTGGCTGGTCATTAGAAGCTCGTCCAGGCTGCTTCGTCCATACTTTCTGCGCCACCAGTGCCTTTATCCCATTCACTAACACCAAAAGATGTGGTAAGGATCGCCACCTCTGACCATTTGCCCAAGAGTACAGTTTTGGAGGGCCACAGAAATCGCAGTACGATGTCCAAGCCTAGTTAACTGCGAACGCTGGCAACTTGTAGGTTTGATAAGGCGCTATTAGAGTGAAGGAAGGGTGGAAACTTGAATAGCGCTTTTCCGCGTCGAAAAGGCACAAGAGTTGCTTTAAATGGCCCTAATTATGTAAAACATTTGTTTCAGGAATCAACTTCGCGGGCGTGATGCAAAAGTTTGTCTGATCACGATCTATGAAGAAATCATGGGTGACGAGGAATCCAATCAGGTTTGTGGTAGAGATACCTTGCTGAAGTAATGGCAGGCCTTACTCCGCCCACATGGTCACAGTGGACAGTGCGGGGGCGACTAGCTCCTCCTCTCCTTGCTGAAGTCCATCTTCTGAAGCTCTCAATCCAGGTGACGATTATCAGGAGCAGGATCCAGAGCAAATTTGACCGGAATTTGGGTCTTTTGGAATAAGCAGACCTCCAGATGTTCCTTTTTCCCTTAGTTTGTCCTTCTTCTTTTTTTGCTTTTTCTCATGGGGGTGGGGGAACAAGAAGTGACTTATCGTTCTGTTGACGTTTTTGCTTACATGCAGGACGGGTTACCATTGAAATCCGAGGTAATCGAATATACGTTGAAATGGGCAGAGACTCGCAACCACTGTGTTTTCCTCATTGGTGCTCCCCTCCTTGTAGACGGCTAATTTGTACCACAACAGTTTGAGAGGCGTAGTGCCTGTAAGTCTCCGCCCATCCGTTAAGCTAGGAATTTGTCTTTAAACTTGCTTGACATCTCTTTCCTCAGCTTCGGCTCAGCAGAAATCCTCCAAAATTGCGCCATCCAAGAAATTCTGAACTTTATGAGAGGATTCACATTTTAGCTTGACGATGGTGACTTCTCGATGGATGAGGATGAAGATATTGGAGCCCTACTGGGCAATCCCCCACATCGTCAAATGTCCAACGGAGTACTGCCGACGGTGATGGTGACGAACTCATCGCAACCGTCTGTCAAGAAAGCTGTCGATTATTTCGACGAAGACGATGAAATGGAGTCCAGAGGTAGTTTCCGTGGTTGTTCCATCGAAATCCACTCGTGAAATGACTGGGTAAAAGAGTGGGACTTGCTTCAGGGCATTCTGCTTCAACTTCTTCCGGTCTCAGCACCACAAAGACCCTTCGCCTTTTTTGTCGAATCACAGAAATGGATTCAAGAAGTACGTTATCCTATGAACACTTTCCTCAATCAGCTTCTTGCCGCTGTTCGGATCTAGAGTGGCTTATACAGTTCTCTATCTGTCCAAGTCTATCAGAGATTTCTAAATCTGGTGAAGCAGATTTAGAGATATCTGACAGCTTGTACTGGGTCGTCTGACAGTCAACGATTGTCAACTCCTGTAAAGCAATGAACACGACAGTGGGAAGAAGCGAAAGTGCAATGCCCCTCCTCAACCGAACAGCGCCCAGCTCTTTTGTTTATTTATCTATATGATTGTTGTCTTCACTGATTTTTTATCTGAATTTGTTTATTTCATCTAAAGGCGCTCTCCACGATTACCGCATGGGCGGGGTTGCTCAGACCCATCGCTCAGACCAAGTACCACTCAATTATGTAGCCTTTGGAGTAGCCTTTACTGAGCCTTTCGAAATCAGAATCGAGAGATTCGAGCTTACGTTTCGGTGTCTTCGCCTTCTTCGCCCCTTATTAACGTTTTCCGCTACTAATATTCAGCTACTGGACTGGGACATGAACTGAAGGTAGTTGTGCCCCACTAGGATATGCCATGCATTCATCTTCAATCGGAGATGGCAGTTGCCGGGCTTATAGTGTGATCTGGGCAAAGGAGTAGACTGTCACCTGATGGCCAAATTGCTGGGTCTGGAAATAGGCCACCAAAAAGAATTCTCGTAGGCCAAGAATGACAGGCCATCAATTGGGCGGAGACAGTCAACAATCATGTGCTCCTCATTGGTACGTATTTCTTCCAGAAAGAAGGGTGCCCCAAGAGGATAGCGCAGTGGTTGGCGGTTTCCATCC